ATTCCCGTCAGCATCACACTGCCCAAGGAAAAAGTCTCAGGCCCTGGCCAGTGTGGCCCATTCGGTTGGAGTGTCACCCCATACAACAACGGGAGCACACATACCAGGCTGGGGGTTCGATCCCTGGGGGGCGGGGGCGAGGTGCATACAGGACATCGATGTTTCTCTCTCCCTTCCTCTCTCTCTAAAATCAATTTAAAAAACAAAACATATCCTTGGGAAAGGATTTTATAAAAAAGCCTCAGGCCTGTTGAGTCCAGGAACAGAGTTTTGTTCAACTAAAGATAATGTCTTGACTTCAGCTGGGTTCCAGCCCCAGGGCCATGAAACCAGGCCTACAGGCCACCCCTCAGGAAACCGGACAGATCATCCCATGGGACGTCAGGACCTGAATCAACAATAAACGATGCCTTACCCTGGCCCCACCCAGCAGTAGAGCCTGGGACCCCAACTTCTTCAGCCACCAGTAGAAGTAATTGTTCGCTATACAACTCCTTTCCTGGAGGCCACTGAGGGGACAGGTCCTTAAGCACCAGCTTGCCTGCGACTCTGGGCTTGGTACCATTTCCTCAGCTAACAAACCTGTACTTTCTTGGCTGCCAATTCCTGTTCTTTTTTTTTTTTTTTTTTTTTTACAGAGAGGAAGGGAGAGGGATAGAGAGTTAGAAACATCGATGAGAGAGAAACATCCATCAGCTGCCTCCTGCACACCCGCTACTGGGGATGTGCCCGCAACCAAGGTACAAGCCTTTGACTGGAATCCAACCTGAGACCCTTGAGTCTGCAGGCTGACACTCTCCACTGAGCCAAACCGGTTAGGGCTTCTTGTTCACTTTTTAAAAAAATATATATTTTATTGATTTTTTACAGAGAGGAAGGGAGAAGGATAGAGAGTTAGAAACTTCGATGAGAGAGAAACATTGATTAGCTGCCTCCTGCACACCCCCCACTGGGGATGTGCCCGCAACCAAGGTACATGCCCCTGACCGGAATCGAACCTGGGACCATTCAGTCTGCAGGCCGATGCTCTATACACTGAGCCAAACCGGTTACGGCTTCCTCGTCACTTTAGATTGGCTTTGATGCACACAGGCAAATGGATCCTTTTGACCAGGCAGCTCGCTGGAGGGAAAAAGCCCTTGTGTCTCATTGCTTTGTTCTCACCCTCCATCTGTGGAGAAATACTCTTTGCTTTTACTGAGGGACCTGGAGATCTTAAAGGGGGTGTGCAGGCACTGAATCCAGTGGAACCGATGTGCATAAGGGAAGAAAGGTTCCAGGTTGGAGATTTCACCCACTTGCTGCCTGAGCCTCTTATTCTAATTATGAAGATTATTTGGTATTAAGTGCACATGAATTTGAAGACAATATCGGTTTGTTATTGAAACCTCTTGTGCTGCCCTGGCCGGGATGGCTCAGCTGTTGAGCATCATCCCGTACACTGAAAGATCACTAGTTCGATTTCTGATCAGGTTTGGGGTTTGATACTCGGTTGGGGTGCATGCAGGAGGCAGGTGACCCATGTTTCTCTCTCATATCAGTCTCTCTCTCTCTCTCCCTCTCTCTCCCACTTCCTCTCTGGCTCTCCCTCCCTCTCCTCCCTCTCCCTCTCCTGCTCTCCCTCCCTCTCCCTCTCTCTCAAAAATCAATAAAAACATATTTTAAAATTTTAATAGAGATAAACTATTCTCCCAAAAGGCTATAAAAAGTACAGCTTAAAGAAAACTAACAACCTAATTAAAAAGTGGACAAAAGTGCTGGACAGACACCTCACCAAGGGAGAGAGACAGATGGCAAATAAGCATATGAAGAGATGCTCCCATCATATGTCCTCAGGGAAATGCAAGTTAAAACAACGAGGCCCTAGCTGGTGTGGCTCAGTGGATAGAGCTTCGGCCTGCAGACTGAAGGGTCCTGGGTTCGATTCTGGTCAAGGGCACACGCCCGGGTTGCAAGCTCGGTCCCTGGTGGGGCGGCGTGCAGGAGGCAACTGATTGATGATTCTCTCTCATTGATGTTTCTCTCTCTCTCTCCCTCTCCCTTCCTCTCTGAAATCAACAAAAATATATATTAAAAACCACAATAATAACAATGAGATACTACTACACACTTATCAAAATGGCTAAAATATTGAACACTGACAACACTGCTGGCGGGGGTGCAGAGCAACAGGAACTTGCATTCATTGCCTGTGGGACTGCAAAATAGCACAGTCACTTTGGAAAACTGGCAGTTTCTTACGAAGCTAAACACAGTCTTACCATATAATCCCGCAATTATGTTCTTAGGTAATTCACCGAAAAACCTGCAGGCAAATATTCAAATGTTCAATTTATAATTGCCCCAAACTGGAAGCACACCTCAATGCCCTTGACTAGGTGAATGGTTAAGCTAACAGTGGCACATCCATATAGTGCAGGGGTGGGGAACGTCCAAGAAATCACTTGGTCTGGTCCTGCCAAGGCATTAGGGGTGAGTTAATTAAATGTTCGACCAAACAGAACAGGCTAATTTTCAAGTTGATAATTTTGTATGGCCCGTGAATGGTGTTAAAAATATCCAAATGGCCCCTGGCAGAAAAAGGTTCCCCTCCCCTGAGTGGAATACTATTCAGCGAAAAATGGAAAGGAGCCATGAAGCCACAGAAAGACTCGGAGAACCAGTAAGTGCGTGTAGCTAAGGAAAAGAGACCAGTCTGAAACGGCTGCATACTTTATGATTTTAAGTACAGGACATTCTGGGAAAGGCAGATTTATAGGGACAGTGGATGCCTGGGGCGGGGGTGGCAGGGAGAGGAGGAGCAGTGAGCAGGTGGAATGCAGGGACTGCTGTTAGATCAGAGAGACCATTCCGCCTGAGACGGGGGGATGTGGGGGATACATGAATCGTGCATTTGGTAAAACCCAGCACAAGGAGTTAACTAATGTAAACCATGGGCTTTAGCTGGTAATAACGATGCTACATCAATATTGGTTCACCAATGTTTCAAATGTAGCACGCCACCACAAGATAGGGGTAACGGGTTGGAGAAAAGGTGTATATTGGAACTCTGTCCTTTCTGTTCAGTTTTGGAGGGTTTTGGGGGTTTTTTTGTAAGTCTAAAGGTGTTTTAAGAAATAAAGTTTAGCCCTGGCCGGTTTGGCTCAGCGTTGGCCCTCAGACCCAAGGGTCACAGGTTCGATTCATGGTCAAGGGCACGGGCCTCGGTTGCGGGCTCCCCGGGCCCAGTGTGGGTGAGTGCAGGAGGCAACCAATTGAGGTGTCTCTCTCATGGGGATATTCCCACCCCCGGTTCCCCGACTGCTCTCTCCCTTCCACTCTCCCTTGAAATCAATGGGAAAAATATCCTCGGGTGAGGATTAAAAAAAGAAAGTTTGTTTATTAATTAAAATAATAATAACAATTTACAGACTCAGCAAAAGTATATGTCTCCCTTTCCAGTGGTTCTCAACCTGTGCGTCGTGAACAATGAAAATATATCCTGCATATGAGATATTTACATTACGATTCATAGCAGTAGCAGCATCACAGTTATGAAGTAGCAACGAAAATAATGTTATGGTTGGGGGTCACCACCACATGAGGACCTGTATGAAAGGTCGCGGCATCAGGAGTGTTTTAGACGATCTTTGTTTTCACTGTTTGGTGACAGGTGCTCAATTGAATCCAGTTTGGTATTTTATTAGTTTTAATTTGCATTTCCCTGTGTTCTCCTCGGTTTGAACATCTTTTCCGGATTGATGGACATTTCAGGTTCCCTTATTATAACTGTTACTGACTGATTTTTAGAGAGAGAGGAAGGGAGAGGGAGAGGGAGATAATAGGTAGGTAGGTATCGGGATGACGCTCTAACCAACTGAGCTGCTCAGTCAGAGCCTCAACTGCCCGTATACAAGTCGCTTGTTCCTGTCCTTGGCCTGTTTATCCAGTTGGCTGTTGATCTTTTGATTGTGGAATTATGGGAGTTTTAAAAATTTGCTCATTCATTCTTTTTTTGTTTATGTGTTGCAAATATTTTCTCATAATCTGTTGTTTTTCAACTCGGATAATGATGTCTTTTATCCATAGAAAGTTGTGTTTTGTTTTGGTTAATCCTCACCCGAGGATATTTTTTCCATTGATTTTTATTTTTTTAAATATATTTTTATTGATTTCAGAGAGAAAAGGAGAGGGAGAGAGAACAGAAACATCAATGATGAGGGAGAATCATTGATCAGCCGCTTCCTGCACGCCCCCTACTGGGGATCGAGCCGGAATCCTGGGCATGTGTCCTTGACCGGATTTGAACCAGGGACCTTTTAGTCCGAAGGCTGACGCTCTATCCACTGAGCAAAACCGGCGAGGGCTCCATTGATTTTTAGAGAGAGTGGAAGGGAGGGGAGTGAGAGAGACACATCAGTTGGTTGCCTTCTGCACGTGCCCTGACAGGGGCAAGGGATCAAATCTGCAACCCAGGTAAGTGCCCATGACTGGGAGTTGAACCCAAGACCCTTCAGTGTGCAGGCCAACGCTCTAACCAGTGGTTCTCAACCTTCCTCATGCTGCGACCCTTTAATACAGTTCCTCATGTTGTGGTGACCCCCAGCCATAAAATTATTTTCATTGCTACTTCATAACTGTAATTTTGCTACTGTTATGAATCGTCATGTAAATATCTGATATGCTATATGTGTTTTCCAATGGTTGCGACCCACAGGTTGAGAACCGCTGCAACCACTAAGTCAAACCAGCCAGGGCGTGGCCATAGAAAGTTTTACATTTTGAAGGCGTTTGGCCTGGAAATGTGCTCTGTGATCTGAGCCCGACCTCAGCTGGAGCCCATCGCTCTGGCCAGCCTTGTCCTTTTGCTCCCGACTCTCCAAGCTGAGCCCAGGGTTCTGCCACAGGGTGTCCATGGAGGCGCCTTCTGGGCAGGTTTTGAAGCAGGCACGGCTTTATCTAATGGGATGAACCTGGCTAAAGAGATTAGCAGGGTGTCTTGCAGCTCCCACTTCTAATCTGCACCTGCAGGCTGCCCCTTCCTGGCCGGGAAGGAGCTGCAGAAACGGCTGGAGGACTGGCCCCTTCAGGAGCCGGGACTGAGCTGAGGGGGTCCCGGGCGAGGGGGCGTCACCATGGGCAGCCCCCAGAGCAGCGCCCCTCCCGAGGCCCTGAGTCCTCGGCCCTGGGCGCGCTAAGGTCACGAGTGGGAGCTGCGCGCGGGAGGCTGCCCGGCCCGCACCCTGCACCATGGCGCTGCTGAAAGTCAGCTTTGACCAGAAGAGGCGGGTCAAGTTGGCCCAGGGGCTCTGGCTCCTGAACTGGCTCGCGGTGCTGGCCGGCACCGTGGTCTTCGGCCTGGGGCTCTTCCTGAAGGTCGAGCTCCGGAAGAGGAGCGACGTGATGGGCAACTCGGAGAGCCACCTGGTGCCCAACTCCTTGATCGGGGTGGGGGTGCTGTCCTGTGTGGTCCACGCTCTGGCCGGCAAGGTCTGCTACGACGCCCTGGACCCGGCCAAGTACGCCAAGTGGAAGCCCTGGCTGAGGCCGTACCTGGCCGCCTGCGTCCTCCTCCAGGCGGCCCTCCTGCTGGCGGCACTCTGCTGCCTCCTCCTGCGCGGCTCCCTGGAGAGCGCGCTGGCCCTGGGGCTCAGGCAGGGCCTGCGATTCTACCGGGACACGGACACGCCCGGCCGCTGCTACATGAAGAAGACCATCGACCTGCTGCAGATCGAGTTCAGATGCTGCGGCAACAACGGCTTCCGGGACTGGTTTGAGATTCAGTGGATCAGCAACCGCTACCTGGACTTTTCCTCCAAAGAAGTCAAAGAGTGAGTGGCCCCCGCCCCGGGTCGACGCCGAAGGGGCCTGGAAGCCGGTGTCCTGTCCCCCCCGGGGGGTGGTCGCTGTGCAGCACTTCTCGTTGTGCCTGCCAGGCTGTGCTGGGGGGACCTATGGAATTTCTGATGTTCTGACATGTTGCCTATAAAGGCGGCAACTTCCTATGGTCCAACCTAACCTTTGGCTATGGTGGGAGGAGGGTGTCGGCTATAAAGGGTGTCCCAAAATTCACGCAAGAAGTAATTTTGATAGAAAACGCAGGTTTATAATTAAAAATTGTAAGTTTTTTGTTGATTCATAAAGTATACAGTATAGGGTTATGTATGGAATAGCTTATCGGGTAAATGGCCTCCACAACTTTGCTGGTACATATGCACTCTTTTGTTATTGCCTGAGGAGTCGCATTTTTGAGGAAGAATGGTCTGATGATGCCTGCAGCCCCAAATCCGCACCAAACAGTGACACGTTGTAGATGCATTTTTTTCTCAACAATCACTCATGGATTTTCTGAACCCCAAATGGGACAATTTTGTCGATTAACCAAGTCATCAAGATGAAAATGAGACTCATCGAAATTCAGCCACATTTATGCAAAACAGTCATGGAAAATTTCAACAAAAGAGTGCGTATGTGCCAGCAAAGCCGTGGAGGCCATTTACCCGATATGCTATTCCATACATAACCCTATACTGTATACTTTATGAATCAATAAAAAATTTACAATTTTTAATTATAAACCTGCGTTTTCTATCAAAATGACTTCTTGCGTGAATTTTGGGACACCCTTTATAAGCTGTGGGACAGGCGTGCCGGGGGGACTGCGGCATTCGTAGAGCACATGTACTGAGATGCTGGCCAGTCTCCTTCACTCAAAGTACCTGGAACCAGTCCCGGAAGCTCACATGTCCTGGTTGGTTCCCTTTCTCCCGCCTTTGGGTCCCGAGCACCTACCTCAAGGTGTGTCCTTGGGCGTGGAGAGAAGAGCCGGGGACGGGCAGTCAGGGAGTCGAGGCCGTGGCTTTGGCTCTGCTGTTAGCTGGCCGGAGACCGCGGATAAGTCACTTGGCCTGGGCCCTCGCTTGCCCAACGGTTAGATAAAGACACTGGAATAATCTTGGAGGTCGTCTCCTGGCTCTGTCTAGAGCAGCGGTTCTCAACCTGTGAGTCGCGACCCCTTTGGGGGTCGAACGACCTTTTCACAGGGGTCACCTAAGACCATCGGAAAACACATCTATAATTACATATCGTTTTTGTGCTTAATCACTATGCTTTAATTATGTTCAATTTGAAACAATGAAAATATATCCTGCATATCAGATATTTACATGACGATTCTTAACAGTAGCAAAATTACAGTTATGAAGTAGCAACGAAAATAATGTTATGGTTGGGGGTCACCACAACGTGAGGAACTGTATTAAAGGGTCGCGGCATTAGGGAGGCTGAGAACCGCTGGTCTAGAGCCTGGCATACAGCAGGTGCTCATTAAATGTTTCCTTCTTAAATCATAGCAGTGCCGCCTGGTGAAGTGTGTCTGAAGTGTTGTCTGTGCAAATATAAAAGCCTGGGTGGGAAGTCGGGAGGCGCTGGTGGGAGAGAATCTCCCCTGGAGCTGCAGTCCACACGCGTGTGATGCCAGCACACGGCTCTCCCCGTAGGCCCCCCGCCCCCCCCAGCCCACCACCGCAGGGAGAGGGCAGCCTGCTCCAGCCGCTCCCCGTGTCCTGGCTGAGCGAGAGGTCGGTTTTCATCCAGGCGAGTTTCCTGTAAGGCTGGCGAGTCCAGGGGACTTGCACACAGGGTGTGGGGCACACAGGCAGCGGGGAATGGTTGGAGCCCAGACCGCAGCACCAACAAACCCTGAAGGCTGCCCCTCGGATGGAAGGGAAGGCAGACCGAAGGTCACTGCTGGGATTCTGTTTTCTCTGCGGCTGGGGATTACTGCTACAAATCCTAGTCAAGGAGAGACTTGCAAACTGCCCTGCCCTCCCTCGGTGACAGGGCTGCAGGGACAGCACGGGAGGCGTGGTCTAGGGAAGGTGCCCTGGGAGGGCGTGAAGCCACGGGGACAAGCAGCATTCCTGGGATGGGGCCCGGGGGTGGGGTGGTGGTGGTGGTGGTGGTGGAGAATGTTGTAGAAGCAGCGCTTGTGAGCTTTGCAACCCTGCCTTTTCCTGTCATTTCCCTTGATTGCCGTCTGCACAGGGTCAGTCCTTGGAGACTGTAAACCTCTCTGTAATCCCCAAATCCCCTCTGTCCCAAGCGGAGAAATTCTCCAGGCTGTTCCACTCTCGTGGTCAGCATGGCCACGTTTCCAGGCACACATTAAGCTCAGTGCTCCACACCAACTTGTTCAGATTTTTAAAAGGCGTCTCTGTTACGCAAAAAACCAGGTGACCAAGAGAAACAAAAACAGGAAAAGAAATTCAGGTCAGAGTCTCAGTCACAACTAAGCATCACTCGCTTCAGTTTTTTCACATTTCATTCTAGTCTCGTTAACATCTACATAACGACACAGCGTAACCAGGGGTAATGCAACTGAGTGCCCATTTTGCAATTTGATAGTATAACTTTCGCATAATGTTCAAAATGGTCATTTCCTCTCAGCTTCACTGTGATATAATTAACAAATAACATTATGGAAGGTTAGGTGCACATTGTGTTGATGTGATACATTTATATGTTGTAAAGTGATCACCACCATGGCCTCGGCCGACTCCTTCGTTATGTGACATAATTAGAATCTCCCGTCTGTAGTGAGGACATTTAAGATCTACTCTCTTGAGCAACGTTTTTTTTGCAATTTTCAAGCATGTGACACAGTATTGTTAACTGTGGTCACTATGATGTGCATTAGATCCCAGAACTTGTTCGTCTTATAATTGGACTAGAGGCCCAGTGCACAAAATTTGTGCAGGGGGACTAAGGGGAGCCCACAGCCCAGCCTGCACCCTCTCCAATCCGGGACCCCTGTGGGATCAGGCCTAAATCAGCAGTCAGACATCCCTCTTGCATTCTAACCACTCGCCTGCCTGCCTGCCTGCCTGCATGATCGCCCCTAACTGCTCCCCTGCTGGCCTGATCGCCCCTAACTGCTCCCCTGCTGGCCTGATCGCCCCTAACTGCTCCACTGTCTGCCTGATCGCCCCAACTGCCTCTGCCTTGGCCTCTGCCACTGTGGCTTTGTTTGGAAGGACGTCCAGAATGACGTCCAGAAGGTCATTTGGCTGTCCGGTCTAATTAGCATATTATGCTTTTATTAGTATAGATGTTTGTGCACTTTGACCAATATCGTCGCTGTCCCCGAAGCCCCTGGCAACCATCAATTTAGTGCCTGTTCTATGCATTTGGGTTTTCCGATTCCACATATATGTGATATGAAACAGTATTTGTCTAAAACGATTATGATCACCGATTGTGTAATATTCCACTGGACAAATGGACACACTTAAGTGGTCATTTAGGATGTCTTTCCCCTGCCTTTCCCTCTCTCTCTCTCTCTCTCTCTCTTCTTATCCCCCTTCCCCCCACCACCACTTCCCTTCGGCTACATTTCTAGAACTGGAACTGCAGAACTGAAATCCTTTCTCCTTTCCACCCTGCCCCCCACAGTGACGTCACACCCGTGTTGCCAAGGGAACAGCCTGATAGGTTCCCTTGACAGAGAGGCGACATCATCATTTCCCACAAACTTAAATTAATGATCAGTGGGTGAAACCGTGAGGGAGGTGAGCTCCTTGGGGCTGTGACCAGAAAGCTTGGTGAGGCCGGATTTGCCTGAGGGCCAGCGCTAGCCGCCCCGTGCCTGTTGGTGGAAAGAACAAAGGCATGAACGAGAGAACTTGAGTGGCACCTCTCCTCCCGCCACCGCACACACTAACATTTCTTTCTGTTCGCATTTGACTGCTCACTTAGAAAGATTATTAAGTTTACCTGACAAAGCTGGATCCCCAGCACAGAAAGTGCGTTTATGTGTTTGAGATGACAAAGCACCGAGACGTGGTGAGCATTCGTCTTTTCTTTCTTTCTTTTTTAAATATATTTTATTGATTTTTTACAGAGAGGAAGGGAGAAGGAGAGGGATAGAGAGTTAGAAACATCGATGAGAGAGAAACGTCGATCAGCTGCCTCCTGCACACTCCCTACTGGGGATGTGCCCGCAACCAAGGTACATGCCCTTGACCGGAATCGAACCTGGGACCCTTCAGTCCGCAGGCCGATGCTCTATCCACTGAGCCACACCGGTCAGGGCAGCATTCGCTTTCTCCTGGCTTTTCTCAGCAGCATCCTCGGGGCTGGACTTCTGAGGCCACAGAGGCAAGAGAAGCCAGGTCTCTGGAGGAGGGTCTGTGGTTCTCGGCCAGTGCCTTTATGTTTTGCGTTTTCAACTTTCCTTACAGAAAACTCAAGCAGCCACAAAAGCAGAGAGATTTAAGGAACTCCCGTGTACCCATCACCCAGCTTCAACAAACATTTTGCCTTTCTGGTCTCATTAACGCAAATCCTGGGCATGGTTTCCCTTTACTTGTAAATACGCTAGGAGGCATTTCATAAGGAGGGTGTTGTTGTTTTTCTTTTTGTTTAAGGTAAGTGCAATTAATCATCTCACCAAAATTAGCATTAGTATTATCTAATACCCAGACTGTTCAATATTCCGGCTGGTTTGTTCAAATCAGGATCCCAACCGACCCACACTCTGCACTTGGTTGCTTCTCCGAGTCTCTCTCCTCTATATCAGTTATCTTTTTCTGAAAAACGAACTGAAACAAACAAAAAACGTTTGTATTGATTTCAGAGAGACAGGAAGGAAGAAACATCCATGTGAGAGAGAAAATGGGCTGGTTGCCGCCTGCAGGCACTCCAACCTGGGATTGAACCCACAACCTGGGCATGTGCCCCGACCGGGAATTGAACCAGTGACCTTTTGGTGCATCGGGTGATGCTCAGCCGAATGAGCCACTCGGGCCAGGGCGGCGGTTACCTTTTTATG